GAAAGAATTGCCAGAGGCTACCGACGCAGGAAGACACCACTCACAATAATTGCAGCCACTGCAACAGGGACTGCAATTCTCGTGTGGGCCTGTTCAGCCACAGTAAGCGCTGCTCTCGAACCTGAAATCTCCTACAGCGCAGATCCATAGTATCCTGAGACTGAAGGATGCCATGCCATCAACACAATTTTACATGAGAGAAATAAAACAGCCAACTGTTAAAGTAGTCCATGGTAGTCATATGGAGGAATTGACATGTCTATTCAAGAGTAGCTGCATGTTGAAAGGATTCTTGATGCCTGGCAATTGTCTGTTAGTTCTTGAATGACTAATTGAAGAAAAATCGTTTCACAGTGCTATTGGCACAATTTGATCATGTTAACACAGCATTCATTTGGCTGGATGTCATGTGCAGCGCGGGGATGTTACCATCCAGGGTGAGTGGAAGGTCCTTCCTGCCAGGGCATGGTATCTGCTTCTTCGGTAGCTGTTAACTGTTGGCTTGGCATCTTTCTAAGAAAAATATATAAGGTAGCGTGAGTTACTAAATTTGAAAAAAGACAACGTACATAGCAGGAATAATGGTCACTTAGTGCACACATGAGAAATAAAGTTACGGAGAAAAAGAAAAAAAGGAATGACCCTACATAGGCATTCTCCACCCAACCACTATAAGGAATAGTGGTAGTTTTTGATGGTTTATATTTTAACGAGGCAATTTTTTTCATGTAAGTGCCAACTACATATTTTCCTAAAATCCGCCTTTCATAGCACTTATTAAAAGGACGGGCAGACATTTTTTTAAAAATCTGTCAGTACATATGTTTAAAAACTTTTCCTTTATTTATTTTTTCTTAAGAACTTGCATCTGTATAGTTTGTTTATTTTTCAAAGTAGAAAAAGGGTCGTTATAAAATTGTTTACTACCGGTTTAAAAAGACAGACATTTATAAAAAATCTGTCGGTATATGTTTTATCATTTACCCTTTCCACCTAAATGCCAAATTAAAACTTTAAATCAGAAAAACCAATTGGTATTTTTCTAATTTTACTTCAATAATAAATAAACAAGTAGTGTTCCAAGACATTTCCCAGACAAATACCTCCTGTAGATGATCCTGTCTGTGGGTGCTCCTCCGGCTAGTCCTCCTGTCCTGCGATGGTCCTGGCCTGGGGATGAAGACGTGTCAGGTAATAATATCCTCTTGATTCTATACAATTATTGTAACTGTTTCAGAAAATAAACAGAGTCACTTTTAAATATTTTTGACTACTAGTTTAAAATACCAGAAGGACATTTTTAAAAATCTGTCAGAAAAAAAGTTTTATTATTTTTCCTTTTCACCTAAATGCCCCCCCCCCCCCCCCACAAAAAAAACTTTCACCTTGAAATTATTAAAAATGGATTTTTTTCAACAAACTTTCACCACGAAATTAAAAAAAACCCCACGAAAAAAAAAAAACCCACGAAATTTATTTTTCTAATTTTACTTTCATAATTAACAAATAATTTTCCAAGACTTATTTCCCAGACAAATACCTCCTGTAGATGCTCCTGTCTGTGGGTGCTCCTCCGGCTGGTCCTCCTGTCCGCGGCTGGTCCTGGTGATGAAGACGTGTCAATTAATACAATCGTCTTGCAACAATACAGTTTGTATTTTTGCTTGAGAAAATAAAAACAGTCGCTATATTTTCTACTACCGGGTTTAAAGGCCAGAATAACAGTTATAAAAACCTGTCAGTATACCGGCATATGTTTTATTATATTACTTTTTCACATACATTTTTTAAAACTTTCACTTTGAAATTGAAAAAAGGCTCCACCAGCAATTTTTCTAATTTTACTTCAACAATTAATAAATTATGTTCCAAGACACATTTCCCAGACAAATACCTCCTGTCGATGCTCCTGTCTGTGGGTGCTCCTCCCGCAGGTCCTCTTGTCCGTGGCTGGTCCTGGTGATGAAGACGTGTCAATTAATACAATCGTCTTACGTCTATACAGTTTGCATTTTTGTTTCAAAATATAAAAAGAGTGCTTATAATATTGTCTACCACCAGTTTAAAAGGACAGGAGGTCATTAATAAAAAAAATTTCAGTAATTACATTTGATCATTCTCCCTTTCCACCTAAATGCAGCAATAAAACTTTTACCTTTAACCCCCCCCCCCCTGTAATTATGATCGAATAATGTTCCAAGACATAGTTCACCCACTGAGGCGGTGCTACTGACTGAAGTGTCTTTAGGCCATTCCCAAAGGGGGGACATAAACCATGTTCTTATGAATAGTAGAATTGTAATTGTAAATCAGCTGATTCACCAATGTCATACTCATAACGGTGCCTGGCCTACAAGAGGGAACTGCTGCTTTTTCTTTCCCAATCCTTACTATCGTCATTTCCTCTAGTTCTTTTGTATGTTTGTCAAACTCTTGTGACCAACTATTTCAGAGTTGCGTTGGTAAAGCAGACTTTGGGCTGTTGAAGCTAGAGAGGTGGGCAGAGAAAGTCTGATTCCCTGTAAGGACTTCTCTTTTGACATCCACCCCTTGGCGCTCATATGACCTTATGCAGTTGCGAGCGCCATAAAACCTCTACTGAAACAAAACAAACCATAAAGACATAGTTTCCAGACAAATACCTCCTGTAGATGTCCTGTCTGCGGGTGCTCCTCTTGGTGGTCCAGGTGGTCCTTAAGGAACTATCCAGTATACACGCCACTCCAACATCCTCACACTCAAACTGAAAATCAGCAGGAAGCTCTACCCACACCATTCTACCCCTGCAACCCTCCCCACCCCTTCCCAAAAAAAAGAAAAACCTACACTGCCCCCTCAACTACCTCCCGCCATGGCCATGGCAATATCTACAAAATTCTACTCTGAATCTAGCCTATCCACCTAGCTCCCTATCAACCTATCTGCCTATCTCTACAGCCCCACTGCGTCACTTCAAGCCTGAGTGTGAGATACAGAAATCGTGTTTTCTGTGGGTGGTCATCCGGCGGCTGGTCCTGGTGATGAAGACATGTCAATAAATACAATCTTCTTACATCTATACAGTTTATATTTTTGTTTTTAGAAAATAAAAAGAGTAGCTATAATATTGTTGTTGTTTTTTACCGATTTAAAAGGACAAAAGGACATTAATAAAAATCTGTCAGAAAATACGTTTGATCATTTTCCTTTTTTATCAATATGCAAAAAAATCCACTTACTTTTAAATCATGAAAACCAATAGGTACTTTCCTAATTTCACTTTAATAGTGAATTAACAAATAGAGTTCCAAGACATATTTCCTAAACAAATACCTCCTGCAGATGCTCCTGTTTGAGGGTGCTCCTCCGGCTGGTCCTCCTGTCCGCTGCTGGTCCTGGTGATGAAGACGTGTCAATGAATACAATCGTCTTACATCTATACAGTTTGCATTTTTGTTTCAGAAAATAGAGTTGCTATTTGCACAGGGACACCTGCCTGCATTTCATAGAAAGACGGAACAATAAGGTGTGGCCACCTGTTATGTATGTTACCTAGCCAGCCAGCCTCAAAAAAATTTAACACCAAGCACGCAGGCTATAAAGAAAGAGAAAGGCCACGTAAAAGATGGACTGAGGTTGTCAAGGAAACCCTAATAAATCATAATATCCGAACTGAAAGAGCTGGCCTACCGTAGGAAACTGCATTTCCCTTCGTGGCTTAACAGCTACAGTGGATTGATTGGAAGATTGAGTAGGTGTTTTACGGCCCTATCGACTCAATTTGCAACAGAGGATGAAAAAGTAAAAGTAGAAGTTAGAAATTGATCAATAATGTTCCAAGACATATTTCCCAGACAAATACCTCCTGTAGATGCTCCTGTCTGTGGGTGCTCCTCTCGCTGGTCCTCCTGTCCACGGCTGGTCCTGGCGATGAAGACGTGGCAGTTAATACAATCGTCTTACATCTATAGTTTCCATTTTTCTTTCAGAAAATATAGAGTTGATATGTTTTTACTACTGGTTTAAAAGGACATCAATAGAAATCTGCTAGTAAATACGTAGGCCTGTTGTTATTTTCCCTTTTCACCTAACTGTAAAAATAAAACTTTTACCTTTAAATCAGAAGAACCAATAGATATTTTTCTTCTTTTTTTTTGTAGAGGTTTTACGGCGCTCACAACTGCATAAGGTCATATGAGCGCCATGAGGTGGATGTCAACAGAGAAGTCTTTACAGGGAATCGGGCTTACTCTGCTTACCTCTCTGGCTTCAACAGCACAAAGTCCCTTTCGACTTTCAAAGCACCCACAAACAATAGACGGCGGGCCTAACAACGAGTCGAGTATCTCATGTGCTAGAGTTAGTCCGTTCGCCCGCCCGTTAAGTGAATTAAATTGTGGAGCAGACCAAAAAAAAAAAGAACTGACTTGAGGTCCGCAGTCTGCTCGCTGAGAGAGTAGAATTGTGGAGCAGACCCAAAAAATGAACTCTCTTGAGGTTCACAGTCCGCTCGCATGGCCGTCCGTTACACGCTCGCTCTGACTGAGTCCGTGAGTAACGGACCCGTCCATCCGCTCGCCCAAACTCTAATAAAAACGAGAAATGTCCCCCCCCCCCCCCCTTTGGGAATGGCGTACAGACACTTCAGTCAGTGGCACCATCCCGGGTGGGGGGGGGGGGGGAAACTTTAAATTTTGTTTAATTATACATTAACAAAAAAGGTTTCCAAAAATTTTTTTTTCCCATTTTTTTTTCCAAAAAAAAACCCCCCGGAAAGCCCCCCGCCGGGGGGGTCCCCCCGGTGGGCCCCCCCCCCCCGCGGGGCCCGGGGGAAAAAAAACGCCACTAAAAAAAGTGCTTCGGCCACACCAGTTGTTATTTTTTTTTTTAAAA